AGGCTTGCCGTAGTCATGCTAAATAGTGCGCTCTGTTTTATTGCACATTTTTTTTATTATCTTATCATTTTGTAGTCTTGAAATCCACTGCATCAATGATTGAAAAGAAACCTGTTTTAGCATTTCTTTATATATGAATACATGATTTTTTGTGAAAAAGGCAGCAGGCTGTTCTCATAAGATGAGTTTTTGTTGTTGTAAAAGTTTGTGGGAGCTTGATATTTCCCACTGTCCATTGTTGCTGAAAAAAATGTGTTGTAGTGTCCGTGTCAAATTTATACGGATGAAAAACCAAATATCTGTATGGATGGATGAAGAACCAAAACTTGTGTGGGCTATGTTAGTAATCTACACAGTTTTTGTATAAACGATGCAGTTTGGTAGTCGCATATTTTGCTCTGAAAATTGCAGAACTTGTGACATAGCCAAGACAAAAGCAGACATCTTGTTAGGTGCTTTGTTTGCACAACCTGGTTGGTTCCACTCATATCAATGCATGAGTGTATTGTCAGCAAGCTGTTTAACTGCTCTAAGCCCTGAAAGCAACATTTTTCTGGAGACAGAAAAAAATGTGTTTCATTCCTTGGAAAATTATATGTACATTACGTTTCTTTTCTTGCTTTTGTCAACATTTAGAATTTGAATTTCGGCTTCATATTTCTTGAGCATATACAACCAATACCACAGACTAGGAAACTGCAATAAAAGTTTCAAAATTTTGGGCTTAGTGCATATATTTGAACAGCATGCCGGTAATATGTTAAATTTGGTGCTCATATCCATGTCTCGCAGCCCAGCAGACTGTGTTGCTCTTTTTTAAGTTGATCTGTAGCCATTTTAAGCAGTTGATGAAATACTGTTGCCTGTATCAGAGTAGAAGGGTTGGGGAAGAGCATTATTTTTTAGTGGAAATGACTTTTATGGAAATGAATGTATTTTTCAGTTGTTGAAAATAAAAAATGCATATTTGTGCTTTCATAACATAGATATAACACTGTTTTTGATAATGGTAAAAATGTGTGTTCGCATAGAGATGCGGAGAGAGACTAGTGTTTTGGTGTTAAAGTAAGGCATTCCCTACACTAAGTGTGACAGATTATTCTCTTCAAGGGGACCTCTGTTTGGTCATGTGCTGGTGCTGGAGCCAAAAGCTGCACCCAACTACTGTGGTTTTATGGTTATGCCTTGAGTTGTTTCCATGATGGAGCTATATTTATGCTATTGAGTCCTGAGTACAGTCAAAATTGTCCAATATGGCCTCCCACTGTCGAGGAGAAAAGTGGTTGTTTTTGACAGGTGGATGTTTTGAACAGTGTCGTAATAATGTAGAAAAAACGTAAGTGGGAAGTGACGGTTTGTACAGGTAATTGTCTTAGACTGGTGGCTGTTAGAGCAGGTTAGACTGTAAGCCTGTCTTTCTATTGGGAAACAGTGTCGAATTAACCTTGACAGACGGGGTCGAAGCAGCCCACCTCCTATTTCTCCGAATTGTGCAGAAAGTTTGCGACAACTGAAAAAAAGTTTGTTGTTATGTTTGAAATGTGAAGGGAAAGTAATATGGTCTAAAGATTAACTGGTTACTTGTTGTAAACTCTTCATGATACATTCGAGTTAGTCGTGTTGTTAGTCAAGATTGGAATAGGGTTCATCTGCATTGGCATTACTTTACTTATGGCGGCTTAGGTCTGAGTCAATACTTACCCGAGTTTGGGTATTGTTTCAATTTTTTATGGCTCAGTTCTTGTAATGTACATCTATTCGCTTTTTATTCTTGTGCATTTAAAAATAAAGATTGGTTCAGATTTTGAGCAAGTTTGACTGGTTTGTTCTTTCCACAGTACTAGTGTTATATTTTTGCTTGTATTCTTGTTGTAGTGTTGGTTGTTTGTTAGTTGTTGTTGTTGTTGTTTTTTTTTGGGGGGGGGGCAGTGTTTCTCTTGTACTCTTTGCCCAGAGTAGAGTTTTTGATAAGTGGACTGGGTATCTGACTAGGATATTTGTGGGTGGTTGCTCTGGTGTGGTTTGCTCCTTCTTTCAAACTTCAGTCTGAAGTGTCTTTAGGCCATTCCCAAAGGGGGGGCATTTCTTGTTCAAGCATAGTAGAATTGTAAATGGGCTGACTCATGTCACGCTCATAACTGTGCCTGATCTACAACAGGGAACTGCTGCTTTTTCTTTCCTGATCCTTACTAT